AGAACTGTTGATAAATTGAAAAAAGTGTTCGATCGATGCTATGAACCAACAATTTTTATCGACAAATAATAAGTTTCAGATCTCTAGCTATTATGGTCACAGAATGGCGGAGGTTTAAAGGAAAATCGAAGTGATATCGCAGTGATCTATTGCACAGAAACAGAGAATTTTGTTTTCCAAAATAATTGCATTTTCTGTTTAGCCATCAAAAGATACCTCAGAAAAATAAGTTTCATGAAAAAATCTTGTCCCATAATTGAAAAAAGGCGATCGAAGTTTGCACTTTGACCTCGATTTTCTCGAAAACTGTCGATCGGAGAAAATTTTTAATGTCACTAATGGATTCAGTTTTTATGGGCCTACAAACTTATAAAGTTCGAACTCTTAACTCGAAAGTCAGAATTTTTACCCATACTCCTTTAATACTCAAAGATGAAAATTGGAAGATAAACAATTTGTTTGAAACCAATACATATATACAGTCATATTCAAAAGTTTAAAGCCAACGATTTGTGCAGAATCAAATCAAATTTAGGTACACTTTTAGGCTACCAATACTAGTCTTTTTTTAGTATAATATTTTCACAGGTATTGACTACTGATAAAACAAAAAATTTCACCTAAATTTATTTCAGTAAATCAGTGAGTGATTAATTAATCAGACGCTGTTAATTTTACATGGCATCTTTTTTGTCAAAAGTTTAAAGCATTTCATGAAAACTAGTGACAGGGTTCGAATTTTTCTTTCAAATTTTGCTATTCAATTGACCATCTTGAGACATAATTTTGTACCTGAAATTAACGAAAAATTTCGACAATTAACCAAGTTATTAACTTTCTCTTTTAACATTGGTTTCTATGGCGATGAATTGAATTAGAGTAATTAATCACGCCCTGATGGGTCAAAATTTTTGAAAATGGTATCACAAGAAAATACCAATCATTCTGAATAATTTCTGAGAAATTTCAATGTCCTTAGGTCAATTGTTCTCCGCGAAGTCATGTTTTAATGTTTTATG